ACCAACGACAACTCCAGCGGCCTGGACACGGCCAAAGGATGGCTGAGTCGTGGCTGCAGTGGGCTGGCGAAGTTGGACCAGTTCGTTTGTCGTTGGAAGCGCGAGAGGTAGCTTGGCGGTCGTACAGTGCTGGCAATATGTTTATGACCACCCCCAACTTTAGATGATACAACAACACCATGCTTTCGCTAGTGCACGGAACTTGATCCAAGTGAATGGATCAATGAGTAACCGCTATTGAAATGGTGAGAAGGCCCATTCGATGATATTATTCGGTAAAGTAACATGATCATGCATTTGAGGTTGGCAATAAGTTTATGGCCACCTGAGAAAATTTGCAGTTATAAAAAGGATAGAACGCTATATAGCTCTTTAATACTTGGTTTTACCTCCCTTGACTTCCAAATCACTAATGCAGCGCTTCGGCATCGAGTGCAACAACTTAACAATCAAGTCGTTTCCAATGGCGTCCCATGCCTTAAAATGGCGGAAATTAGGTCATTCTTGGACGAATATTGACGTCCATGGCTGTAAACAGCTCGTGCAAGAACACCCCAAATGTTCTCGATGGGGATTAAGTCCGGAGACTCTGCAGGCCACTCCATGACTTCGAGCATAAGCTCCTTCAAAAATCCCTTCGTCTCTTTGGACGCATGAATTGATGCATTGTCATGCTGAAAAATACAGCCACGACAAAAATGAAGTTCGAAGTATGGAAGCAAATGGTCCGACAGGGTATGAATGTACGCACCACTGTCTTGGGTGCCTTCCAGAATGGCAAGGCTTGTCTTGTCCATGGAGCTAAAAGCTCCCCATACCATTACGCTTCCTCCCCCCGACTATCGCTTGAGAAAATGGCCTTGTCTTTACGCAATTCGTGCCAATCATGTTTGAAGCCGTCCGGGCCGTCGAGGTTGAACTTTTTTTCGTCACTAAAGACGACTCGGGCACATTGCGCCTTGTCCCACGTGACCGTTTGCTGAGCCCAGTTTTGGCGCGCTTTTTTGTTGTTTTCGGTGA